GGAGGGAGGGAGGGAGAGAAGGGAGGGCTAAGGACTTTGGGGGCCAGAATCTTCCATGCAGTGACACTCAAAGCTGCTGACCCAGCCTCTCACCTGGGCTTCCTTCCTGTGAGCCACAGGTAGAAGTCATAGATGATGGCAGGGGCCCAGTGGCTGACAGCGTTTCGGTACTGGGTTACGATGGTGTTGCCTGTGAGGTCAGTATGTGGCCTCCTAAAAGCTTTCTCAAATGGAACTTTTTCAAAGGTTGCCAAGATTTGGAATCCTGGGTGAAAATGGAAAAGTGGTAAGTCTAGAGCATATACGCCCATTGCAGTGGATGGCATCTGCAATGGGTCAAAACAATAAAGAACAAAGACTTGCTGTGGAGAGTCAAGAATCAATTTCTGAGAACAGTATTAAGATTTTTATCCTGGCAAGTAGTCACCTGCAAAATTAAGCAATGTGAATAGGTTAAGAATTGGGTCCTTTTCTTGAAATCTTTAAAACGGCTCCTAGAGGAAGTTTTTAATCAGTACAGTGAAGTATTGTTCAGAAAAACTTAAGTCCATCATTCAATTCCAAGTTCATATTACTGGACTTTTCTAAACATACTTTGTCATTTCACATTTTAGAGATGCAGCAATGGTGCAGGTGGTGTGTGCATGGCAGCAAGTGACTGCAGCAGGGGCCGTGTTTGATCACGGACATTATCACGCTGACTTCTACTTGGTTTTATTTATTTTTTTACACCTGCATAGCCAACAGACCCCTTATTGCTTATAATCATGCAGATATTCCCTTCTTTGGTAATTCTGTTTAACTCCTATACATCTGCAAGTTGCAACTGTTTCATCTCTTGACTTTTTGCGTGTTTCCCCCGTGAGACTCTAGACTCCACGGCACGCTCTGTGCATTTTCTCCCTGTGGCAGACGTAGCAGGCACGGAGTTACGTCGCTGTAGGCACTTACCCATTTTGCCCCAGTAACAGGGGTTCAAGTTACCAGATGTACAGTGGTAGATTAACGTTGACTTAGGCCTGGAAAACAGAAGACAATTTAGATAAATATGACAAAATGGAGAACTAATCAAAGAGAGATAAGGGAAAGTAATATTTAAACAAGGCGGTTTCAGTAATCCCCACGGGTGAGGCCACCTGGGCGGCATTCCTTCTTCTGCTCCTTCTTTGGGTTCATAAGCAAAATGGAAGAAGCTGAGGAAAAGTGTGTGAGTGTGTGTGTGTGTGTGTGTGTGTGTGTGTGTGAGTGAAAGTGATCTCAGAGAGGTTGACAGATTTGTGGAGCAAACGGAGGTGTCATGGCGATGAGAAAGCAGATCATATTTCTAACTGATCGACATGTTTATTGGGCAAAAATATAGGCTACATTTCCCCCCCTAAATCCAGCTAAGTCCTGCTGGTTTGGAAAGTATCTAAATGTCTAACTCAAATAAAAAAAATTTAATTCTGTTTATCATTTCCTAACAGAGCCAAATATGCAAACTACCTATTATTTTTCCTTTGTATTAGGAAACACCTCACACATGGCAATCTGTATTTTAGGGATTTATCAGGAGCTGAGCAGGTCAATGAGGTATAAAATTCACTCTCATTTCACCCATGTTTATCTCCTTGCCTTCAAAAAGGAAGCTGTATTTTAGATTTACTAAATAGAAAGAAAAGCTTTTTGGTTATCAGGAATTATATGGTTAAATAATTTAAAGTGTGTGTTACTTTATGATCAACAAAGTACTAAGCAGCACTTATAAAACAACTCAATGAATATATGATGGTGTATTTGGAGCTATGTAAAATATTGAAACAGGTACCCTCTCACATTTGGGGTTTCCTACAATACAATGCATATGTTTTGAAAATAGGCCTAATATATTCACCTTCCTCCTCATCAAACCTTTGAAGGAAAGCCAGCTGAGCATCCACACCTGTGAACTGCTGTGTACCATCCTACAGCCAAGGTGAGGTTGACGACTGTATCAACTGGAATCAAATCTACCACAGCCATTGGAGAAGCCCTCAGGGCCCGGAGAAACCCTTTCCCGGTCTGCACAGAAGGAAGGACATAAAATAGTGAACAGGTCTTGAGGAAAAGCTGAAGCTAATTCCGATGCTGTTAGTAATAACAGCTATCACTGAGTCACTGCTTACTTGGGTACTGTACTGAGGCTGACGTCTCTCAGCCTGTCCCACCTTCCAGTCAAGTTCATCTCAAATGCCAACACTGCTATGAACCACTAGTGAGTGGTCATCAGGTTCCTTTAGGGAGCGACAGTCCTCACATTTGTGAGAGGTAATATATTTAGTCAATTAGCACCAAGAATAGTTTTTCACATAGTAAAAATTAATTCATAAGACATTTTAAGAATTAAGTTTTCCCAAATTTCCCATTAATACTGTACTAGTCTATCATTTTTAAAATAATGTTTTCTGTTAGTGCTTACTAACTTACAAGCAACAGGTTTAAGAAATATTTAGTTTTAAAACTTAATAAAATTCTACCATTTAACAACTTTGTTATTACTTGGGAAAAGGCCACCATTATTTACTTTCCCTTTGGTATCTTAGCTAACCTCACAGATGACCAACATTATATAGATGCAAGAATTGGGAATTATCCATGTTAATAAATAAGCCGTGCCAATAAATAAGTCAGTTAATAAATAAAAAGGTACATTTATTTTACACCCTGCATATTCCCAACACTGATATTCAGTAGTTGCTAGCATGTATGTTCCTAATTTCTGTTTTCTCATAACTGATTCCCCTTGCTTTGGACATAAGAAACCAATTTGGAAATTTTTAGATAACTGAGTAGCTGTGCAGCTTTGTAAACAATGTAGTAAAATGCACTCTGGGGTCGTGTGAAAATAATTATGTTCTAAGTTACCAAATGTTCACCCTAACTAAGCCTTAAAGAAGAAGGCAGGTAGAGAACAAATAGAAGCTGCTAATAAATAAATAAATAAATAAATAAATAAATAAATAAAGCAGAAAGTTCATTATCACCGTCTTTGACAAGTAGTCACAATTCATTGTCTTATATCTGAATTTCAGTTCATGTTGGACCTAGCTCTGAGAACAAATGCAGAGTCTGGAATCTGAGATCTGTAAGATTTTTTTTTTAAAAAAATATCTTTATTGATTTCAGAGAGAGGAAGGGAAGGGGAGAGAGAGAGAGAAACATCAATGATGAGAGAGTCATTGATTGACTGCCTCCTGCATGCCCCCTGCTGGGGATCGAGCTGGCAACCCGGGCATGTGCCCTGACCGGGAATCGAACCGTGATCTCCTGGATCCTAGGTCGATGCTCAACCTCTGAGCCATGCCCGGCCGGGCAAGGTCTATAAGATTTAAACTGAGTTAGAGAATTGGGTTGCTATTCATTGTCCTATAGAGTGGAGTTATGCTTCTGGTCCTAAAATGTTTCCACATGAACCATGAAGCCCCCAGCTCAGACCGGAGCCATCCTCACTGCAGGGAGACATGCACAAAGGGCGGCTGACTGAGAGGAACCACTGACGCTTCTCCTGGTCCGTGAGAGGATTGCTAAGTGTTTCCTGTATCAGCCAAGTTTTAGTTTGAAACCTTTGCTCCAGTTGGTAGTTCTCTTCCTTGTATTTATGAAGAACCGGTTATTGATGCATTTTACGCATTTATATAATTTATATACACACAGAAACTCTTGTATGTGTCTTATAACCTAGAATTTAATAATCTTTGTGTATATGATTTCTATTGCATCTCTAGTTCACTGCATTGATTCAAGCTACTAACAGTTAAAAGGAGGAAACACCCCCATCGTGTGGTAGCAACAGGGAACTACAGACATGGTCCTCAATGCGCAAAGGCTTTCCGAAAACTCCTAAACAGAAACTGATATCACAGTATGTCTGTTTTTCTAATAATAAAATCCACAAGTAAATGTAATTTTATCCTGCCTCTATTTTCCAATCACCATAACTGAGATAAGATACTTTAACTGCAGTTAGTAAAGTAACACTTATGGTTTTGGATCCATGAACTTAAACTAACACTAAGCATGTTGTTAGTGACTATCCCTCCACTACATTTCAAGGAGTTATTTCCACGTGATTATACTTACCGCAATAATGAGCCCATTAGGTCCATTGATGTTATCAACCCAACCCTAAAATAAAGAAGACGACCTCTATTGATTACACATGTCAGAAAATTTTAATACTTTTGGAACGTTTGCAGTCTAATCTTGATACGTTTCATACAGGAGCACCGAGACCCCAGCCAACATAACTGTCTCATCCAGTATTTCTTACATCACAAACAAAGATCAATGGCAAAGCACTGCATATTCTCTGTACTTTATTGGTGCAAAAATTAAAATTCTGCCAGGAGGAGTCATGGATAGTTTCAAGTTGTTTTAATAATGACATCTTAGGGGCTAAACTGGACCTTGTATTAATACCAAGAGCTGCTAACCAATTCATCAACTACCATTTTCTTCCACCTGAAGCCCAATTTTATCTCCCTAGGGGAACATTTCCAACATTTGTAGGAATTATCCAGTTTTTGAGAATTTTAAGAGTCATACCATCCACATGATCTCTATGTATCTGTGTTAGCTTGCTCAGAGATGTTAGAGGAAAGACTGTTTCAGAGCAGCCAGAGGAAAATATCTTTTTGAGTTGTCTCCCCAGCCCTGATCAAGTCAGTTGATCTCATTATGTCTGTTTCTTTACCTTTAAAAGTTAAAATGCATGTGTAAAATGGGAGAGGAGAGAGAAGACCGGAGAAGATGAAGGGATTATTTGTTGAGCCCTTGATTCAGGACCAGGCACTGCTAAGTGCTCCCTGTACTTTCTCTCATTTCATCACCTCTGCAAAGTGGGTAGTAACAGCCCTGTTGTTTTACAAATGAGACAACTCACAAGTCTGCATTGTTAATAAGTAGTGGAGCTCAAATTTATCTGACCCCGAAACATTACAGAATCGCTTCAAAGAAGGTGGTATGATCCAAAGTGCTTTATGAAGGATAGAGCAGGATACAGAGGTTAAAAATATCCCTAAACTGAGACTCTTCTGTGAGGTTTGTGATTCCAATTTACCCTGGCAGATGTAATACCACCGATTTTGCCATCACAAACATTCTGGTATATTTAAACTATAGTGGGAAGGGCAAGATATGAAACTATCTCCATGGAAATTTTAAGGCTAGAGTTAATGAGAAACTAATTTAAGATCTCCACTCAATTCTAGAGCAGGCAGTGTAAGTCCAGAGGAGCCTCCTGCAGAATAATTCCTGAACCAAATATTGAATTTTGCACTAATAGGTTCCTGTTTGATTCCCTGCACTCAGCTATATATCTTGAGGAGAGAGGGAGGGAGAGGGCAAGAGACATGAGAAAGTAATTGGGCTAGAAGTATGCTAGCTGGGAAACAGAGTAAGGAATCATGTAAATGGACTTACTGGGAAAGGCTCCTGCCAGGTTGCTCCCACAATGGAGGGCCTCACGATGGCGATGTTTAGGTTCCCACCCTCCTGCTGCATCACCATCTCTCCCAAGGCTTTGGTGTAGGTGTAAGTATTGGGCCGGTCCCCGATCAGCTTGGGTGTGATCTCATCAATAATAGTGTCGTCTAACCACCTGAAGGCAGTCGGAGTAAAAGAGAATTCTAGCAACGTATGTTGGACAATAGACAAGAAAACACTGTTAGCCACAGACAATCAAATAAAACTTCCACTTTCTAGCTTGAGTTCTGGAACTGAGAAGTCACTGGATGCCAAGGCTGTGTGCGCCCCGGTCCGAATCATGTATGGTGCTGAGCTCTTCACTCCCCACTGCTAAGCCCAGTCTTACCAGGTGAACCCTACCTCTGCCTGCCTAGATAGATAGGTTTAACAGCTTTGCAATCTACTGCTTTATTACATATGATCTCTATCTTCAATGACTTTCTCTCCAACAGGTTCGTAAGTACATGTTCATCGAACATGTTTGTGAGTGCCAGTCATGAGCCCAGGAACATGCTGGGTACGTTCATGGTGTTTAGAGGCTCCCTTGTCCAAGGTGCTTCTGTGGCAGCCCCACCCACTCAGTGCTGTCCAGTTAAAACCTAATGCACCAACCAATCTTGCAAACTTCAGCTTTTAATTTTTAAAATTCCATTCAATGCCTCAACAAATGAAAGCAACTATGTTTGGCAAACTTATAATCTGCTTTAGCAAATCTATGAAATGTACTTTGAAGATCTGTTTAAAGTCTATGATAATAACTCAGTAATTATTTCCAGAGATTTCCAATGAGTTCTGAAGTGCTCTAATCACTCGTAGCAGTCTGTCAGTGGAGTGGTTAGAGTATTCTGAAGCAGTTGTGATAGTGACTACTGAATACCTCTAATTACAAGAAGACATCTTAAACAACTGAGTCACCATGACATCAGCCTAATGTTTTCTTTAAACCTGTCAGAATAATTTTGATAATCTCAAAGTCTTCTGCAGTTCTTGGAGAGAGCAATAAAATCATTGTCAATTAGCCCTGGCTGGTGTGCTCAGTGGTTAGAGAATTGGCCCGTGCACTGAAGGGTTGCAGGTTCGATCCTGGGCCCCGACCGGCAACCAATCAATGTGTCTCTCTCACTTCAATGTTTCACTCCCTCTCTCCCTCCCTTTCCTCTCTTAACCTTTAAAAGACAGCATTTAAAAGACAGCATCATACAAACTCCATATATTTTCCAGGATCAACTGTACAAATAACGGTTTCTTTCCTTTTGCCTGTAAAAAAGAACGTATATGCTTAGGTTTCTGAGTATTTAACCTTTAAAAGATGGCATTTAAATTCTGTCAGCATTTAAATTCGGCCAGCGGGACCCACTCCTTGCCGGGAACTAAACTTCCCTTTCATCGGATAAAGGTTAAATATTTCTCTTTGCTGGCAGATCTATTTGGTCAAACTTTTAAAAAATTTTTATTGTTGACGCTATTACCGATGTCCCCATTTTCCTCTCCTTTGCCCACCTCCAACCCCTCTTCCAACCCAGCCCTCAACCCCCCTTCCCTCTGGCCATCAACACATTGTTATAATATACTTTTAAAAAATTAGGCTACCTAACTATGTTAGTGTGATTTGATACATTTATTCCTATCTTGATCATAGAAAAGTCATAGTTGTTACCATTTGTTCCCATTGCACACTGTTGAGCAGTTAAGATGTGTTTGCACTAAGACTTGTTCAGAAACTCGACTCTCCAGTTAATAGGTCTCATTTGATGTTGGAGCTAAATTTGAGCATTGTCTGTTTGGTTTTTCTCTTCTCTGCTACTAGCGCTGAATGTCTTCTAGATACACAAATGCCTTTTGGTTTAAATTGAATAGGAAAAGTTTGAGAAGTTCCTAGAATTAAAAACAATTCCAAATACTTAGAAAAACAGATATTCCAATTATATGGCCACCTGAGTGTTGGGGAGAGAGTGGGATAATGCAGGCAGCTCTCCATCTTTGTAATAATGTTACCGTTACCTCATCTTGTTTGGGGGGACACAGTGGATTAACTAACCTAAGACCATTTCTCTCCCTGCAAAAACATACAGGTTACAAAAACGGGGTCAGAAGAAATAGTCTAATTTCTTTCATTTTTTTTACAGCTTTATTGTGATATAATTCACACAACATTACAATTCACCTATTTGATGGAAAGAGAGCCTAATTTCAATAAGGCTGTGTAGAAAAAAAGTCTAAGAAAACAGTGCACCCAGCAATGCACTAGGAGTGTGTCACATGGCTGGTACCAGCTGCTTTTCCGGTGCTGGTCTGCACCCAAAGGGTTACACTTAGAGGCTTTAACAAGTTGGGTGAGTTAGCTTCTTAGAAAACACTGATTTCACAGGTTTCTAAGAACACAAGTACAAGGGAAGTCTTGGGGTTCTGTAGATGGCCTGCCTCCACCCTTTGTAGCTCCACCTGCATTTTGCTGTACCCTCCTCGCATTTCCTCCACTTCTACTTGTGAAAATGGCAAAAATTACCCCTGTCCTAAATTTTTAGGTTATCATGAGGGCAAACAAATATTCACAACTGCAACAACTGCACTTAAAGCTTTTTGATAAAACAAAATGAGCCCATCAACCTAAGGCATTCTTATCTTTGGTAAAACAACCAAAGAGCATCTATCTACAGAGGCAGTAGTTGGTTTTAAAATAATCTTTTCTCATTCGGCCAAACAGACCATTGTCTCCTCCAGCCACTTCCTGAGTTCACAGAGACCAGAGTAACCCGTACGCACACCCCTGGGTTCTGTACTGCCTTTCTCGGGGTGTGCAATCAGTTCATACTCTTCTTTACCACAGTTTGATTTGCTGCTGTGGTTTGTTTTCCATCCGTTTTCAAAACGGCAAATAAGTTAGCATGGAAAAGAGGCACCACATGAAGCAAAGCACAATTCTGAAATTAACCAAATGCCCTTTGGTATACTTGAGAAGGTGTTTTGAATCCATCAGTCTCAAATTATAAACTACTTAAATTGATTTAAAAGAAGCAAAAAGTTATTAAAGATTTCAGAAAGCAGTGTGTGTGTGCACATGCCAATGATTTCCTCTAAATAGTACTATCTTTTTAGTTTGAAACTTATTGAATCAACCTCTTAATATCACTCATAACTTCATAATCTATGTATTTACTGAATGAGACAGCTAGAAGAATCTATGTTTTTCCTCCTAATTTTTTTGTTCAGTAAGCAGGGCAAGCCGACTGGTGTACACAGGCAAAGCTTTCAGAGTATGTAGTGGACACACTGCTTCACAGTGATGTCTGCTCTCTCCTCTCATCTGAATTAGCTCTTCCCTTGATTGCTGCAGGTATCATCCATACATACTTGCTCACAGGTCTGTTTCCCCACTTTTCAATGAGTCTAGGAGAGTGCAGGTATGTTTTTTATCTCTGTGTCTAAGCACCTTTCTGTCCCCAGGAACCAGCTATTTAATTCAGTAAGTGGGTGCTCCTCCCATAGGACCCTCTTAATTGACCAATTTATAGTCTGCATGAGGTTTTGGGAAGCTGAGCTGGCTAATGATAGGAGGGAGGGTGGACTCAGAAGGAGGTGAGGTTGTAGGGAGACTGTGGGAAAGGGAGGAAGGGCAAGTCTTTGTTGAGAATGCAGCAGTAGTGGTGGGAAAGTGTTGAGAAGCTAAAGGTCTATAATGTTGACCACCTTCAATGTGTCGGTGTTGGCTTCAGAGTGAATTTAAACTTTTTATTGGGGAGAAGGGTATGTATATCTGAGCCTAATGCTTGTGTTGAATGGGCCCTTTGTATTTTCCTCCAGACTTATTGAGCACTTATTCCGGTCTCCAATGGCCTGAAACATGAAATTATTCAGCCTGGTAATATTAAAAGCACACAGAATTTTCAATTTTGTGTCAGCTACTTAGATGCTATCTTGAGATAATACAATCTGGGAAATAAAAACACAAAGTGCTAAAATTAGCTCCCTCCCTCCCTGCCCCCAGCATAGGTAAACTTTCTTTGTGTCACTAATGTGATCTTCAGCACCAAAGCAAAAGTACTTCCCCACATTTGACTTCCTTGTAGCTCCTGAAGGGCCATCCTGGGGGCTGAGGCTGCTGGTGGGGGCTGCACGCAGCTTTCACCTCCCCTGCTTCTCACCCTCAGCTCACTCGCCAGAGCTGCCTACATGGTGTTTGATCAAGAGACCCCTTTCCTTTTTCACCTGACAAATTAGCTGTGCCTGGTGGTGGCCTGGTAACTTCAAAAGTGTGATTTTTAGTAGGTACAGATCTATCGGGAACTTTTTATTGAATTTTAAATCTACAAATTAAAAGACAACAGAAGGTGAGGAGAGGCTGCATTGATTACTGGAAGCCCAGTGAACCCCACTGCAAATGAAAACTGCTCAAGAAATCACTTTAATACACTGTTTCCCAAACTGGTCAGCTCATGAATCAGACTTACAGGAGGCCTCGGGTTAGCTTCTATATTCCCTGGGTGGTTCCGAGGTACCACTATAGAGCCACTATTTCAATTTTTAGGTCTGATGACCTAAATAATCCTAAATAATCTGGTGATTCTTATGGCAAGGCAAATCGGGGAATCACTAATTTGAAAGAATTCCACTTCACAAATATAAGCCATTAGGACTTGCATAAATTGGGATTAGCTCTCAAAAAGGCATTGCTTCCTTGAGGAAAAACTTCAATAGAATGAAGCTTTAAAAGAATTAAATTCTTGGTACTAGAAATGTAAGCTGTGACAATATACATATTCTAATCTGGTAGCTAATTAAATAAGTGTAAGGCCCATATGCAAAGCATTAGCCTTGTTTTATTGTGTTTCTTCTCCAAATTCACATAGGTATTTTATATCTGTTGCCACTCCCCATTCTAGTCCTCCCCACCACTGTGCCTCAGCCTCTAGTTATTCCCCAAGCCAATCTACATCTCTTCCGCACCATGATCCTATTACCTATAGCTCACTTTCATCCAAGTCTTTCCTTAATCAAAACAAAACAAATGAACACCCCCCCCACCCCCCTCCCCGCGTGCAGCCCTCCTTCAGTGGACCCCGCTGCCTACAGTTTAGTGCAGTGCCCTGCATGGTATTCAGTCTCCGCAGCATGGCCCAGACTATCTGCAGCTTGATCGCTAACGGCCCCCCTGCACAGACCATGTGTGCTACCAAAGTGGGCTGACATTTGTCTCCCAGGCATTCCCCAGGTTTGCCAGCTCCAGCTGCTCTGCCAGGCATGCACCCTGATCCCCTCTGTTCTTCCACGTCTATCTCCTATGCCTTTCTATTGTCTCCAATTCCATCAACTTAACATGTTCCATCTCCTCCACCGCACCCCCTCTATAATTCCACGCTGCTCTATTTGTGTTTGGTTGTGAGCTCCACAAGAGCACAGTCTGTATCTTATGAAAGTGAGGCAGGAACCGCGGCCATTTTAGGAAGATTCCCCACCTCAGGTATCAGCTTCCCTGCCTGAATGTACATATAACCTTATCTGACCTGTGTAACCCCGCCCACTATTTTCGAGCCACAAGCAGGCCGGACCCACGACCCTATAAAGCTGACCCAAGCACTTTGTTCGGGGCCCAGAATTTGGAGACTGCCTCCTCTGGGACCGCATGCGTTAATAAAGGTCTCCTTTTGCCTCCTCCGGTGTACGGCCTGAGTCTTTTCCGCTACAAAAGCACCTTTTAACCTCTGGCACTACCCAGTCTGTGGGTAAACTGGAAAGACTAAAGCCATGTGGCCAGAATCACGTGGCTGTGGAGGCAAATTCTCTGTGACTTACTGGATGAGAGCCTTCTGAAAGGTGAAGTCATCTCTCTAAGCACTTGTCCCTTTCTTAGTACAGCAGTGGTAATAGCATCAACCCTACAATACTATGTTAAGGAATTAAATGTCGGAAAGTGTCTTTGCTGACAGTGACAGCTCGACAGCAATTCACAGCCTCCTGCCCTTCTTAATGCAGATTCACTAGATGGACCTAAGTGTCAAACAAAGCAGTAAGTATGTACGGGTCCACTTCTCTAGTTCCCAACTGTTTTCCAGGTTTTTCTAAAGGTGCAAAAGTCTTTTTACCCTTCACCAGTTCCCTGAAGAGAAGTGATCTTGGCCTGAAAAATATGGAAAGCACCGGCTCTGAAGCCCTGTCTTTTCTGGTCAGTTGTGTGCATTTAAAATAAATAACCATACTGAAGCTGTTACTCTTAAAAATTGCAATTTCACTGGCAGTCCCTGATCCATTTATGCACATGAGTTCCTAAAGGTAAACATCACCATGTAAAGCTAGAAATATAAAGGCAGAGGTGAGTGAGTACAGTGACCGTCGCAGGATCAAATGTCTGCAACGGCAAGGACAAGGGGCGGAAGACAATGCAGGCATAAGAGCCAAGAAAATCAGTTGTTTAACAATGATTGATGGCCATGCTTACCATACCAATTAAAAGTATTAACTCTTAATTGAGGTTATTAAAATGCGTTTATGCTAAAGTTTTTATCTACTACAATAGAATTTTATCTTTTGGGGGTGGTTCAGGACCAATATAATTCTGGAAGTTTCAGATATGGGCTGCAAGAAGGGAGCAGAGGCCTGGCCCGGGCTGTGGGAAGCACAGAAAACGGGTTGGCTGGAGCTGGAAAGGGTGGGGCAGGGACAGGTATCAGGTTGAAGCCCACAGCCCCACTCCCTTTATTAACTACACGGAGCAGGATCACTTGGGCTTACGCAATTAGGAAAGTTCCTGGCAAAAATGTACAAATCCTCTTTTATTTCCCAGACTGGAATTCCCATTAAACTGGTTATCTGGAAAAAGAAAGGTTCATTTTAGCTTTTCATGGGTGATTTTCGGTTTTGTCTTTTTTTACGATTATGTTTTTTAGCTTTACTAAGATATAATTGACAAATACAGATAAGTAAGCAAATAGTTAGACTGAGCATGGGGCACTATGAGGCACCAAGCCTGAGGGATGCTAGGGGAGAGCTTTGATGTCTGAAGCAGAGGTGAAGTCGCCTTTAGGAACAGAACCAAAGGCAGGCAGCATGAGAGAGAGGGGTAAGTACTTCTGTGTGACTGTAGCACAAACGTAAGGAGAGGGCCAAGAGATGCAGTTGAACAGGTGTCCTGAACATAAAATTTTGAATTAATAAGTGGTGTTTACAACTTTTTCCCAGTTTTTTTTTTTTTAAATACCTAAGTTCCTAATTGCATTCAAAAATGTATTCCGCTGAGATAAAATATAATTTCATTCCTAGTTCTGTTTGGCTACATATTTGTTTAAATAATCACTCTCCTTGGAAAGCAGTAAATGACAGAAACATACACTTTGCAGAAGTGTCAATGACAGTCTGGTCATAAATCACGTAGCAATGTCCTGCCTTCGTCTAGTGGAAGAGTATGGGAAATGCTGACCACCTGAAGATAAATCAACCCCTCCTCTGGAAGGTGTTTATTCTTTTTTGAAATCTAGGGGTGTTGAGTGTCTGGACACAGTCTGGGAGGAAGGGAATTGTATGAAGAACCTGGAGAAACCTTTCGCTGTGGGTGAACTTACTTACTGCCTTGCCTCCCTCTCTTTTCTGGTGCACTCTCAGGGACTCCTGTGCTGCCTCGAACTGTGCGAGAACCTGTGAGTGTCAGAGGTCAGCGGTGGACTGAGTCTGTACAATCTCAGTGTCAGGCTCTGGAATCAGAGGAGGCCTGTCCCTTTCCTGGGAATATCAGTATGTAAGCACCATCTGTACCAAGAGACAGCACTTTAAGGAGGCAGCTCATGGACAAACAAATCAATTCCACCCTAAAAATGCCCCAAGGCTTTAGATGTGACTTTCCTGCACTGACTTTGGGCATCAGAGCTTCTTTTCTCTATCTATCCTGACAGACTCTCCACTCTGAGAGCTTTCTTTTCACCAATTAAGCGAAACATGATTTATTAGCAGCTTTAAGTAACCTCTAGGTCCTTTAAATGACTTTCATTCTTCTTTGTCCTGGATATTTTTTATGACAGGTAAAAATATCTATCCTCAGAGCTACATGAGATAAAAATGTTTGCCCTGAAGGGAACGAACTCTTGATTTAGCTAAAGCTTCATTTTAAAGAGTATATCTTAAATGAAAATACAGTAGAATATAAAATTTAAATCTGACAAATTCACTGTGAAATAGTCTATTTTCTCTGCTGTAATACTTTTTATGTGGAGTCAAAAAAACAACAAATGAACAAGGCAAACTTAGTAAATGGAGCAGAAGAACAAAGAAGCAGAAAACAGACACTGTTTTCTGACACTGGGGCCATGTCCTAAGAATAAAGTGGCTCCTGTTAGTTGGCAAGAAGAAAAAAATGCCAGACATTATTTCTCCTGCACAATTGGAAAGTAAGAAAAATGTATATTGGCCAAAGAGGTCAAGAGACTGACTCCTCCCAGATCTAGGAGGAATTCCTCTTCTCTATTTGTTTTTCTTTACTAACCTTTTGATTATTTGCTATTAAATACCCCCTAACACTCCAATAATTGCTTGTGTTTATCAACTTATCATCACAATTAATAGATGGGCACTATTATCAGCCTCATTTTACAAATGAAGGAACTGAAGCTCAGAGAGGCCAGGAAACTTGCTCAGTGTCACACAGCCAGTGTCACACAGCCAGTAAGTTTCAGAGCCTAAAGTTGAACCCTTGTTAGTCTGATTCCAAAACTTGTCTTCTAAACTTTCATACCATATACTATATTTTGACAATGCTGAACTGCCATTTGACCCAGTAATCCCACTTCTAGGAATATATCCTAAGGAACCCGAAACGCCAATCAGAAAGAAGTTATGCACCCCTATGTTCATTAGCAGCGCAATTTACAATAGCTAAGATCTGGAAACAGCCCAAGTGCCCATCAGTAGATGAGTGGATAAAAATACCATAGGACATTTATACCGTGGAATGCTACGCAGCTTAAAAAAGGATCTCTTACCCTCTGGGACAGCATGGATGGAACTGGAGAGTATTATACTGAGCAAAATAAGCCAGTCAAAGACAAGTATCACATAATCTCACTCATATGTGGAATATAATGAAAAAAATAAACTGATGAACAAAATAGATCCAGAGACACAGAAGCATGGAACAGACTGAGGAATCTCAGAGGGAAGGTGGGGAGGGGGAGTGGGTGGGGAGAGACTAATCAAAGAACTTATACGCATAAATGCATAATCCATGGGCACAGACAGTAGTATGGGGGAGGCCTGGGGGCGGGGCAGCCAAAGGGTGGAGGGGATCAATGAGGGGGGAAAAAGAGGACATCTGTAATACTTTCAACAATAAAGATACATTTTTTAAAAAAGTGAAAAACCAGTTCTATGTAAAGTATCCTCCAAGTACCTCATTCAAATCTAAACTATTTAACAAGACTTGGGGATGGAGGGAATAGCAAGGACAGGGTGGCGAAAGCTAGCACCATTACAAAGCACGTTGTTTCAAGGCTGTTCCACTTTGTTACCTCCTTAATGAATGACTAGAAGGAATCAAAGAGAACAAACATCTGCCCACCCTGTCCCCCTCATTTAGCCCAACTTACTCCATGGAATCGATGATTTTTTTTGGCTCCACAGGGCACGGATAGATGACTTCATCAATGTGCTTCAGGTTACAGTTTGAGAAGGCAGTAGAGATATGTATGAAGGCCTCGAGCTTTGGCATCTGACTGGCCATGTGCAGGAGCTTCTGGGTGGCAGCGACATTCAGTTGCATGGCACGTCTAGAGAGAATTAAGCAGAAGGAAATGGAGCAGCCTGTGTCATGCTTCACGGTGAAAAGTTATGAGCACGGCTTTTAAAGTCAGGGTCAAAGTACGCCTACGATCACCACTCTTACTAGCATTGCTCTGAAGTTCCAGACTTGTAATTAGGAAAATAAAATTAACAGATATAAAGGCAGTCACAAACCCAATGCCAGATTATATCATGGTATATCTAGAAAACAAACAGAAGCAGTTAAAACAATGTTGGCTGGACAATAAGATAATTCAGTAAAGTGTCCATTTATAAAAGTTACATAAAAGAAAATCACCAGCTTTCTCGTACAGAAACAACAATTAGAGAAAACAGTGGAAAAAAGGCACACATTCAAAATCAAACATTTAAAAACATTTCAAATTAATAATAAATGAATAGACTCTATATTAAAAAATGATAAAACTTCATTAAGGGTCACAACAAAAAAATTTGAATAAATAGAAAGACATATATTGTTCCTGCATAGGAAGAACTAATGTTTAAAATATGTTAAGTTATTCTAAATGAATCTACATATTCAAGGTAATGTCAATCAAATTTCCAACCCTTTTAAGAACCCGGCAAATTATTGTAAGTTTAATCAAGAAGTATAAGCAGGTGAGAATAGTCAAGAAAATCCTATTTAAAAAGAATGATGTGTGTATACTTGCCTAATAAAATAAAAATTACAGTAATTGAAATACTGTGATGCTGAAAGAGAAAGTCTAATTAATAAAATTAAATAAGAAGTTAAAAATAAGAATTTAATGTTTCCTTTCAAATAAAAAGTGAAAATAAATCATTTAGTAAATGTTTCAGAAGTAACCATCTGCTAGAAACAGTAAAAAAGTTTACTCTACATTCACATCTCCATCACTCTTCTTTTTATAGAACTTTCCTGACTGCTTATTCCTCTTTATAGCTAAATAAATTTTAAATGATCAAAGACTGAAATGTGAAAATGAAACAATAAAACTACTAGAAGAAATTTCAAATAACTGCATATATAATAAAAACAAAGTTGAGGACAAATGATAAGCTGTTAAAATATTTGGAGCCTTATAAAAAGCAAAGAATTGCTAAATCTTTCAAGAAGTCTTAAAATTTATAAGAAAAAAATGCTTCAAATGAAAAATAGGCAAAAAGCCTGGGTAGGTATTTCACAGAAGAATAAAATGCCAATTAGCATTTAAACATCTTCAACCTGTCCAATGATCAAAGAAGTAAAAATCAAAACATGCAATGCCATTTCCATTGTCATATTGACAATGTTAAAAAGAATTAAATAATTATAATACAGTATTGGTGAGGGTGCCGAAGTGAGCATTCGTGTGCATAGGGATGGTGCAAATTGATGATACCACATTTTGGAGAGCAATTTAGTTTTATATGACAAAATATAAACTGTTCATAATCTGTGCACGTTTGATGCATATCTAACAATTTCACTTCTTGGAATTTGCCCAAAGGGAATTACCCAAAGTTGTTTAAAAAAACATGTATGCACAGAGGTGTTCACTGCAGAATTGCTTATAATAGTGAAAAATTGGAACAATCCAAAAGATGTCCACCAATATATATGTGTACAATGGAGCATGGTATAGTCATCACTAATTATAACAGAACATTCCTGGACAATGAAAGATAACAAAAATATAATTGAGCAGTTTGCAAAACATTCTCATAGGATGACTTTTTCATAAATTTGAACATAAATTTTATTATGGATGCATAAAGAAAAACTGGAATGAATGTTCTCCACAATATTAAATGGTTAGTTCTAGATTGTGAGATTTTGGAGAAGTTTTACTCCTTTGTATTTTTTTCATTGAGAATATCTTTTTTTTAAAAAAAGACAAAGAAACCATAAAGAAACTTACACACACATGTGCATACATATGTGCACACACACACATATCCATACAAGCTGTGAGTGGGAAACAGGAAGTACCTGAGAGGGTCATCGAAGCGCACCGTGGCTGCGCAGTGGAAGACAACGTTGGTGCAGGAGAGAAGCTCCTCCATGTCCTCCTTGCTGATGGCCAGGTCATTGTGGTTAAGGTCTGCGTAAATAGCCCTGATCTTCTCATGCACATTTGGACACACTTCTTTCACTTTTTCAAACAGCTAAAACATAGATATAAATCAATATACAAAGATCACTATCACATTGTTCTTGTTCTCATTGACTTGTTTCATTATAATTCCCCAAAACTGGTTTTAGTTGGATTGTCACTCAAAGAAGGTATCTCCTCAGGAGCCGTTTGCTTAATTTCATGCAATTCAAAGTCAGTTTGGTATAATTCCTGCTCCTCATAATTTCATAAACATTTGAAAAAGTCAGTTCCAATAACCAGTAAAAAGTGTATTTTGAACTTTCCTGCAGAGTGAAGGAGTGATAGTAAATTAAATATATCCTGCCCCACCCTCCTTCCCCCTATAAGGCATCCCTGTGTTTATGCATGGTGAGTGCTCCCATTGGAGCTGGAAAATACTATTTTCAGTGCAAAATTACCAGCCTTTATATTGCTTTTATAAATGATCAGCCTTTACAAAGCCTCATGAGCAGAAATTCAAAACAACTTGTTTAACTGGCCAGATTAACAAGATGTCCTAGCAGCACAAACATAATTAGAAACAAATTAAGCACATTTGTAATGGGTAAAACAAATACAAATCTCATATCATCTCTTTCTAATACAAATGGCAATTATTGCTTGGTAAAATAATTACATGAGCTCATGGACCTTTTATGGAATTGTAATCGATTTTTTAAAGCATTCTAATTTGTAAAGGGAAAAGGAAAGAGCACTGGTAGCTTTAGCTTTTATTACAATTATTCACTTGGATCGAGTCTCTACTTTTGCCTCCACACAGAAGTTCTTAGATTAAATTGGTATTTTCCATTTTGTCAGGAAATAAGATTTTAATAAAATGATCTTGGTTCCAACCTATTTTGGTAAAATGAAATTTTACTGTAATATTGGTATGATATATTAACAGAGAAGAAAAGTAAGGCTACATGTTTAGAAAGGTTAAGAGCAGAGAAAATTCAACTGTGGTTTTAATCATAATATAGTAGCAGAGACAGTCCTCTTCTACCCTATAACCCCAAAAGAACATTTTCATCTATTCCTTGGTCCTTAGCAGCAGGCTTCTTCTCTCCGTTAGAGATCTACCCCAGGCTTTTTTATTGGGTTATAAGTAGTTGATCGCAGGTAATCAGAGAAATCATGTCTCATTTGTATCAGGCAAGACCATACTCAGAGACCATCATGGGAATTCTATGAAAGTGATCAGGGAAGGGAATTAAATCCACATGTTGCCGGGCAAGTTAACATACTCAGTCTCTAAGCTACTATTTTTTCTGCAAGGTAGGGTCAGCCTTTTCCATGGGGTGTTACCACAATTCTAAATATATTCGGAAGTTAGGTCAGTCCTCAGTGCTTTGTGGACATCTGGGATTGATAAGGTTGTTGAAGTGTCTGAGGGACATTCTCAACAATAGTCATTCTGGCTCTTCCAGAAAAATATTTAACAGCTCTTCTAATCTTGATGGATCTTGGCATGCTAAATATGTTTTTTCACAGTCAAATGTTTTCCTTCATGTAGTTTATTAGGTATTAATTAAAGGACTCAATTTGTACAATTTCCCCCTTTTAAATAACTAAATTTATAGAAGGCTTTTTTTTGTTTTTTTTTTTGTTTGTTTGTTTTTGGATCTGCATAATAGATTTTATTCACAAAAAAATTTATTTAAGGTTCTGTGGAATCTTTGACTTTAACTTGTGATGACTTTTGGCTACTTGACAGCAAGAAGCAGAAGATGACTTCAGTGTTTACCCTTCTTGTAACAGGGTTCCTCACATGGGATGTAAGCTGCTATGCATAGATTTTCTTTTTCCTTTGGGTTTTGTAACTCTTTTAGGCAGAGGATACTTCATACCATTTGGAATTTCAGACAACCAGTGCAATGTTGAACAGCGCCTAGAATTTACAGCATTACTGTTATAGGAAATAATTACTATCCCAGGGCAGTTAAAAGATATCAGTGGTTTTCAAACTGTAGGCGTAAGAATAATCTGGGGCCTTGACTTGGTAAATTTGGTATGTAACCCAGGAAGTTATATTAATTAACAGGCTCCAGTGATAGGTCTGACAGTCCAGATATCATACTTGGAGAAACAATAACTCTGAAAATTCATGGCCATTTTAAAGCCAGGGCTTAAATTTCCCCCTCTGGTTTGTAAATTCCTGGATTCTTGCTCGTCTATGTTTGACAGCTCCCAGTTCATTGAAAGGACTCAAGTTTTATCAAATTAAAATTAATTACTGTAAGACTACTAACAGGATCATGAGTGGGAGCCTGATTCCTGAAACTGTTTGGTTACCAGCTCTTCTGTAGTGGTGAGATGAAAGATAGCAGATAACTAAAAGAAGACACCCTGGGGTCTGTGCCAATGGCCAATGGCAGCTGGAAAATCTCAGAGCAGAGCAGATCCTCTTCTTTTGTACTAATGACAAGACCCAAGGACAGGCGAACAGATGCACTCAGATCCTCGATAGAAATTGGCTCTTCTGAAAGTTTCTTTTGCTAATGCAAGGCATTAATTAAAGGTAAGAAAAAGTAGATGGGATAAAAACGAGTGAAGGGAAATATAATTTCAAGAACTTCACTGAAGGCCCACCATGAAGAGCTTAATATAATTACTTTACATTCTAAGTGTTCATCTTATTCCTTCTCATATATTCTGCATTTAATGTCATAAAACTGAGAAGGTAAAGAGTTGAATAACTACTTGCCCTTTAGAAAAACTCAAGCAGAGTTCTGTGCTCACTGGGAGATAACAGCTGGGGATGGGGGTGACCCAAACATTTCAAACTGACAACAAACTTGTACATTTTTCTTGTAAAGTTTAGTAGTATTCCCTTGACTTGACATTACACAGGCGAGTATTTCCCTCTCGTAATTAGTTTTTAAACGTGAGTGACTATCTTATTTATGGCAATTGTTGATTATAGCCCAGGGGCAAGAAACTTTGCAAATCCTATGTAAGAAAATTCAGTAGAATGAGAAAACCAGAAAGAGAAATTATTCTGGAACCAATAAACTCCTTGGGTACGAGTTCTCAAGTTCTGTAGCCAGACACGAAGTCTGCATTTTTATTAGAAGCAGGAATTGGGCAAGAGGTGGGGGCATGACATTTATACCGTGCTTCTGAAACAATGTAGAGGTCCCGAAAGTGTACTTCCACAGTCCACATGACCTCACATTGGAGGTATCCACAGAGGTCCCATCACTGTTTCCTGGGGACCATTGAAGGTAATCTTTTATAATCATGAGGGTCTTTAATCTTTATTCAGTTTACTGAGTCCCTCTCTTCAAATATAACCATATTATTTAGTCCCAATAACCCACTAATATTTGCTTAATATTTTTAATTTGGTAAAAAAAGAAAAAGGTACGGTCCCTTAAACTAAAGGGCAATCTTTGCAAAGTATCTGGTGTCCTAAAGCAAAAGAAAACCTGTAACATTTATCAGAGAAATGTTAGAGTGCTGAGTAAAAGCAAAACAATGGATTGTGAAAGTCGGGTCTTAAACAAGAAAGACTTATTAAGAAAGGATATAATGTAAGTCAACAATTAAACACAAATAAGTGCATGTAAATTAAGGAAAAAACTATCATACCCAATGTAAAGATTTAAAAAATTTACAAAATGTTAGGATTTGGCTAGTTCATTTATAACTCCCATAAAATGTAAAAAATTAACCTATAAGTTTTTACTGCTTAATGAAGACGATTTCTATAGGACCCTAAGGCAGTATGGTGTCATAGTGTGGTTATCAAACTTTGGCATATAGCAGGGCTGCCTGGGAAAAACAAAAAACAAGAACCCAGATGTCCCGACTGTGGAGATCCTGACTCCACAGCTCTGAGCTGAAGCTTGGGCTCCTGTGCTTTGTACAAGCTCTCTGGTGAATCTCATACACGCGGGAGGTGAGAATCATTGATGTACAGGAAACATCAGTCAGGCTCTTTGGAGTTAGGAATGCCAGGGTTTGAATCCTAGTTCTATCATTTATTAGCTGTGTGACTAGGGCACATTACTCAGTGCCTTCGGATACATATTTATCTGCAGTGCTAATCACTGGACTATCTTATCATATGATCTCAGAGAACTAATGATTCAGCAGATACTCTATAATTAAAAACAACTTTGCATTTAGCAAAGTTTTAGTTTACTTTGCATAAGTGCTAGAGGCAACACAGTGTTCAGTTCATCAGCTTATTAATGCTTTGTTCCCACACCAAAGGCCAGTTTCAGAGTTCTTTTGGCGAATCAAGTACTGCACTTGGTTAGAAGCAGCGGTATCCTAAGGGAGGCAATGCAATGCGGTAGGGAAAGCATGGGCATTTTAGAGAAGAACTGAATTGAAATTCTGCTTTGTCATTCCTTGGATAGGTGTCAACTTCTCTGGATTAACTTCTTAATTGTTGAGGTAGCAATAAGGCATACCACATTTTGTGAGGATTAAGTAGGGTAATGAAAGTCAGATGTCTAGGGTAGTGTCTGCCACTTAATAGGTTCCTAATAATAGATAAACTCCCTTTCTTCTTCCACAACAATATTCCATTTTCCAAAGCTGCTAATCTGACAGCTGAGTTTATGTGTGTGTGTCTGGTCACCTCGAGGTTTCTGGTTATACCATGTGATCCAGAGTTGTGTTGAATCTTGTGGCATGGTGACTTTTTGAATGAAATTAGTACAGGCAATTTGAAGCTTTAAAAAAAGGCTCCATGTGATTGGAAACAATTTAAAAAGAAGTTGGATATGTGAAATCACACCAGTGACTGAATTCACTTGTGAACAGTATTGTAAAAGAAAATAATTGAGAAAATAAATTGCTTCAGTTTTTGTGACCTTTAATATATCCCCAGGACTAAATTAATTTCTCTAATTTTTTCTTTTTTTCTGGAAAAAAAGGAAATGGCCCACAGGGGAGAGGCTTAACTTGCTTGAACTAATCTGAGCTGAGTAACTGTCAAATTGAAAACCAGTTCCACTCTTGTAAAAGTGTGTGTTTGTTAGTCATGGGAAATTTAAATTCCTGGCAAGATTATAT